ATATATATATGTATATATATATATTAATAAGGGAGGAAGTATTCTGCTTAACATTATTAACATTCCTGGTTGGGTTTTGTTTGTTTGTTTGTTTGTTTTGTGGTTTGTTTTTTGTGTGGTTTTTTTTCTTCCTATTCCTCCCAGAGGAATACACATTCACCTTTAAGTAAAGATAAAGGAATACAAAAAATAAAACTCACTTTGCAAACTCTGATGACTCGTATAAAATCAACTTCTTTTTTTTTATGGTTTTTTTTTGTTTTTGTGTTTTTTTGTGTGTGGTTTTTTGTTGTTTTTTTTTTATTCCCACGCTGTGCTTGGTACAAATTTGATATTAAATAGCATATCAAACTAGAAAGCAGTTGACGTCTTATGTTTTCATTGCTAGCAAATATTGTTTGTTCAAGATTTATCTCTGGAGAGAAGGTATTCCTTTAGAGAAGTAATGCTTGCCTTCGCTACCCTAATAGTGGTGACCAAACGTTCATCACAGTTTTGGATTCTTTCCTTTTTTTCCTGCTGGATGCTGCCCGGGCTTGACCCCCTTCCCATCCCACCACACACACGCATATAACACTTCAGCTTTTCTGGTTGTTTTTGGTTGTTTTTTAAGAACTGAGCAGAAGGCAAAGCCCAGCTCAAGGCCAGGCCAGCTCAGGGCTTGTCCCCCCCCCAGGGGAGGACACCTCAAAACAAGGTGGGGTTGATTCTTCCCGGGGAGCATCCGCTGGACGCAAGGACCGACCGGCCGGGGACAGCTCAGGGGAACAGCACCAGTAAAAGGTCCCCGGTGGGTGCTGGGGGAAAAAGAGAGGGGGCCAAGGGCTGTTTGGGTGGGTGGGGGGAGATGCCCACCCAACACCTCCCTCACCACGGCACAGAACAGTTGCACGAGGTGGGGGGGGGGTGAATGCAAGAAAAAAACAACCCAAAAAGAAAGGCACTGCCACTTTATTACTGAAGATTTGACTTCACAGCCTCAACTCGTGCAACTGTCTGCTCAGTTGTTTCTTTTTATAAACAATTTCAATTTTCTTTTAGGATTTGAGCTTTTTAAAATTTTTTTTTTTTTTTTGCTTTTTTTCTTTTTTTTTCATGTTAAAACTTCCTTCCCTGGAGCTCTGCCACCTGCACTCAGCACAGGCACCCCCAGAGCCAGGCAGGACTTCCCGAACGCAACTGAAGCCACTTGATATATATTTTTTTGTTGGTGCGTGTTTGTTTTTTTACTTAAAACAAAACAAAAAACACAAGAAACAGCAAACACAACTAAGTCGTTATTCACCTAGACACCTTCAAAGGAAAAGCAGCTGCTTTTTTTTTGTTTGTTTGTTTGTGTTTTTTTAACAAAAGGGAAAAAAAAACAAACCCGACACAATTGAATTATTCGGTGGGTGTTAATAACAGACATTATCATGGTTACCAGCCATAGCAAGTTAATAGGTAATATATCCAAAATAATATCTCTTAACAATCAGATAACCTCTGTTTCTATAGTCAGCAAAAGGAATAAATAGAATTTCAGCTCCGTAAATACATTTTTTCCAGCCTTCCCTGGGGAAAGCTCCTGCTATGGCAGTTGTGTTCACACATCAGTACAATCTGGGGGGGGTCGCCGGGGGGGGGGGGGGGGGACCCGGCCCCAGAGACAGAAACCTCCTCCTGCCCCCCACTTCCCCTTCACCTCCTCACACCACTTCCCAACCTCCCCCCACTTTCAGGCTTTCCCTTCTATCCTTTCCACTCTCCCCGTCTCCCCATCTCATGCCTGCGAGGAAACAGGACACCAAGGCCCAGCAAAAAAAGAGAAAAAAAACCCCAACCAAACATGGCATTTGGCACTTTTTTTTTTTTCTTTATGAAAATGACTTAAAAATGCTGCATGGCAAATGGGTTCACACATCTCCCATCACCGCCGGCCCAGCCGATGCTCCAGTTCTCCCTCATCCCCCCCCTTCAGCCCTGCTCCCAGCACATGGCTGAGCTCCTGTGGGGAATGTTGCTGCAATTCCAAACTCCCCCCACCCCCATTCATTAATTTTCAATATATTATTAGTCCACCAGAGGACGGGGACCAGCCGGGTGTCCCCATGGGCAGGGATTTTCTGGCCCTGGTTTTCAAGCGGCACCAGGTGGGATTTGCCCACTGGAATGCCCACGGAACAAAGGGACCTCCCTGCTCTAAGCAGCAACACAGCAGCAGCCCAGGCCACCCGTGGCAAATGTTTCATGGCCCAAAAAAAAACAGGGCCCTGATGGGCCCAAAGGCCCCTGGTGGCCTTTGGAGGTCGGTTTTTATTTGGCTCGACAAAAATCACACGCTGGCTCCTTCATCCCTCCTGAGGGGGTGGAAAAGCCCCTCACTGCTGGGTTTTTGGCTGCATAGAATCATAGAATGGTTGGGGTTGGAAGGGACACCTAGAGATCATCTAGCCCAACCCCCCTGCCAAAGCAGAACCACCCAGGGCAGGTGACACAGGAACACACCCAGGCAGGTTTTGAATGTCTCCAGAGAATGAAACTCCACAGCCTCTCTGGGCAGCCTGTCCCAGGGCTCCGTCACCCTCAAAGGAAATAAGTTTGTCCCCACGTTGAGGTGGAACTTCCTATGGTTTAGCTTGTTCCTCATCCTATCACAGGCACCACTAAAAAAAGAGACTGGCCCCTTCCTCTTGACACCCACCCCTCAGGTATTTCTAGACATTAATAACATCCCCACTCAGCCTTCTCAAGACTTAACAGCCCCATTTCTTTCAGCCTTTATTCACAGGAGAGATGTTCAAGTCCCTTAATCATCCTCACAACCTCCACTGGCCTCTCTGCAGTAGATCCATGTCTTCCCTGACTCTCTTGAACTGGGGAGCCCAGAACTGGACACAGGCTGGAGGGGTGGGGGGCAGATGTGTAAAGCCAGGATGCAGCGACCTTCCTGGTACCTACGCAGGCACAAGACACCAAAACTCACCCAGCATCCCCACCCCCCTCCACTTTACCAACATCCCCCAGGACCCTCCACTGGGCGAGATGTCCCCCCCACATCCCCACCCCCCTCCCCCCCCACTTCCCCTTCACCTCCTCACACCACTTCCCAACCTCCCCCCACTTTCAGGCTTTCCCTTCTATCCTTTCCACTCTCCCCGTCTCCCCATCTCATGCCTGCGAGGAAACAGGACACCAAGGCCCAGCAAAAAAAAGAGAAAAAAAACCCCAACCAAACATGGCATTTGGCACTTTTTTTTTTTTCTTTATGAAAATGACTTAAAAATGCTGCATGGCAAATGGGTTCACACATCTCCCATCACCGCCGGCCCAGCCGATGCTCCGGTTCTCCCTCATCCCCCCCCTTCAGCCCTGCTCCCGGCACATGGCTGAGCTCCTGTGGGGAATGTTGCTGCAATTCCAAACTCCCCCCACCCCCATTCATTAATTTTCAATATATTATTAGTCCACCAGAGGACGGGGACCAGCCGGGTGTCCCCATGGGCAGGGATTTTCTGGCCCTGGTTTTCAAGCGGCACCAGGTGGGATTTGCCCACTGGAATGCCCACGGAACAAAGGGACCTCCCTGCTCTAAGCAGCAACACAGCAGCAGCCCAGGCCACCCGTGGCAAATGTTTCATGGCCCAAAAAAAAACAGGGCCCTGATGGGCCCAAAGGCCCCTGGTGGCCTTTGGAGGTCGGTTTTTATTTGGCTCGACAAAAATCACACGCTGGCTCCTTCATCCCTCCTGAGGGGGTGGAAAAGCCCCTCACTGCTGGGTTTTTGGCTGCATAGAATCATAGAATGGTTGGGGTTGGAAGGGACACCTAGAGCACCAAGCCCCCCCCCCCTGCCAAAGCAGAACCACCCAGGGCAGGTGACACAGGAACACATCCAGGCAGGTTTTGAACGTCTCCAGAGAATGAAACTCCACAGCCTCTCTGGGCAGCCTGTCCCAGGGCTCCGTCACCCTCACAGGAAATAAGTTTGTCCCCACGTTGAGGTGGAACTTCCTATGGTTTAGCTTGTTCCTCATCCTATCACAGGCACCACTAAAAAAAGAGACTGGCCCCTTCCTCTTGACACCCACCCCTCAGGTATTTCTAGACATTAATAACATCCCCACTCAGCCTTCTCAAGACTTAACAGCCCCATTTCTTTCAGCCTTTATTCACAGGAGAGATGTTCAAGTCCCTTAATCATCCTCACAACCTCCACTGGCCTCTCTGCAGTAGATCCATGTCTTCCCTGACTCTCTTGAACTGGGGAGCCCAGAACTGGACACAGGCTGGAGGGGTGGGGGGCAGATGTGTAAAGCCAGGATGCAGCGACCTTCCTGGTACCTACGCAGGCACAAGACACCAAAACTCACCCAGCATCCCCACCCCCCTCCTCTTT